CAGTGGTAATTGCAATTTACTGGGTCGGATGCGCTCTGCCTAGTCAAGACCACAAAGAAGTCACATGTAGTTACCTCAGGAAAAACAGTGCGCATACAGTGTAGAGCTAACACTGGAGCAATTCATCGGAGAACCCCTGTCTTGTTTGAACCTGATGAGGTGGGACAATGGTCATCAGAACTGACAGTGCTCGAATCCCTTACCACCGTAAAAGAAGGGGATGTCACTATTTTACCTGTTACGGTCACCAATAACATCAAAAATAATGTCAATCTACCCGGCAGGGTGGTGTTAGAAAGATTGCAGTTAGTTCGCTCAGTAACTCCTGTGGAAGTAAAGTTCAAAGAACCATAGATGGTGGCCAAGGAGGATGAGTCAATAAACGAACTCAGTATGACACTCAGTATGCCAGACCTACCAAGAAACAGCAGCACCGGAGACCGCTTACCACCAGTGGACTGACACCGGAACAGCAGGAGCAAGCCAGAAAGTTATTGTATGAGGAAGAAGATACATTTGCAGCAAGTGATGATGATGTCGGCTGTATTCTTGGATTACTTCACAATTATTCCATGAGCGCGCATTGGATATGAGGTGTTAAATAGCCAACGAGGCGCGTAGCACTGAGTTGGCTATAACTATCTCATATCCAACAAGCGCGAATGGAATTATTGTTTTATCAATTTTTTTTAAACTCCAAACGCGTGGTTATTACAGCTGGATTTTAGAGAAGTTAATTTTAAATATTACTAAACGACCGGATATTAATGTAACTTCCGGTAAACCAAGGAAAAATCACATGACATGTGCGCCGTTTTCTAACTTAGTTGAATGAAAAATCTGAAAGGGAAGGACGCTGTGCTTAAATTATTCTCGACAAGTACTGTTTTCGCTTCCCCTCGCTATGACAGTGGAATTTGACGCTGGATAGGTCGATCTGATTCCTCTTCGATTTCGTTTTCTTCCTTCACTGAATCGGAGCTGCAAAAAGACCCAGCTTCATTAATCAATTTGTTGTTGTTGTTCAATGGAAAGCCGCTCGTTGTTAGGATTCACTTGAGGCCCGTTATGGTTCGTTATGGGCTTGCGAAAGTGTTAAGAGGTGTAAAAGCTCTTCAAACACGCAAAAATCTGCTAATGGTTTTGAAATTTCTGAAAATTTTTAGGTAATAATATACACCAAAAAATTACTCAATTCTGATTACACGTAGCTGAGAAAGGAGTGCAGTTCTCCTGTAACACGAATGCAATTTTGTAACACGAGTGGAAATTACAAATGGTTTCTGATTGGTTGAAAACAGAAAAGAAACCAACAGGAACCAATCAGATTAGAGCTCTTTTTTTAACAACAGAGTTTAAGAAAATGGCCATAGTTTTCAGCAAAGAACGATTTGATTTTGTATGCAAAACAACAATAGAGCAGTTTTCCAAAAACCCGAACACAGTAAAAAGTACGTCTTTCTGGCTAAATGTATTACAAATGTGGTGCTAAGAGAAAAGTACCGTCAACAAAATCGAGTAAAATGAGCCAGAGAAACTAAACAAGCTACTTAAAACAGACTACGCTGAAGTAAAAAAATTAAGAACAAAAACGGTAGCAGCCACATGCAAGTCATGACAGCTACACTTTTCAGGCGTTTAAATGAACAAGGATACAAGTTTTCCATGATAACAACGGGGATTTCAAGCCATGCACGTTGTCCGTTGGAGGAGAAAGGTGTCCGGTTGCTCTCTTTCAGTTTTTTGTCGAGCGAAGACCTCTATTTAAAAAAAACATGCGATGGTCTGGTTTTTTCTACCTCAGTAACAAACGAAACCGAAAATTTAATCACAAACATCTGGTTCAAATTAAACCAATGGGCGAAAATACCATAAGTAACATAATGAAAGAATCTGTAGTTGGTACTAGCCTTAAAGAAAATGAGAAAAATTACGAATCATAGTGCAAGAAAAACATCAGTCAGCAAGCTGGAGAAACAGAGGTATAAATTTCCTCAACGACTACGATGAAGCCGACGAAGAAGAGCGATGACGACTGTCTCTTGCAATATCCAAATGAAATTATGAAAATCCCAGCGCTGAGAAGAAGCAAATATTATATTGATATTGGCAGTTTCTGACATCACAACAACTGTGGCTCCACTCACCCATCGATGGCAATGTCGAAAGAAAACAAAATGTCTCCTTCATTTTCGGGTTTTAAATCTCAAAAGTTTATCCATGAATCCAGCCATGATGGGGTCTCAGGAACAGACAATGATGAACGTCTGGATGCCGTTAACTGACAGCTGACAAATGGCCAAAATTTTAACTCACAGCTGACAAATGGCCTAAAATTTAACTGACTACTGACATTTGCCTTGGGTTTTACTGACTACCGACAAAGACCATGATTGTCCCATATTTTCTACGAAACCCTTTTTTAAGACCGTAAATAGCATTGTTCTGCACTCTCTTCGTCAGACAATGTGATCAAATGTGCGTTTGTAGGGGTAATCTTAGCAGCAAGGCGCTTAGGTGTCATATTCTGTTAATGATTTACTTAAAACCCATGAGTGCCATGTACCATCTGTTGTAAATGACCTATGATCTCAAATTCACGCTCCCCTGAGAACGCGCCAGCATACGGATGCTGCTAATGAGGGCGTTAGAAAAGCAGTTGCAACTTTTTGCCGAGATGATTCAGATACGGTCTTTCTTGGTCTTCTTACGATCTACGTGCCAATATTGTACCTGGCAACATTTTCTGAGTCAAATGAGTGAGATTTTCACCTTGTCGTGACCGAGATTTCCGGAAACGTCCCGGCGACTTCCGAATATTTCCGACGAATTTCCGAAGACTTATAAACGTTACCGAAAATTAACTGTCCGCAGATGTTCCTGAAGACGGGTGAGCACTTCCGAAGCTTCTTAAAAAACGACAATTTTCGCCTGTTTTGATTTCGTTAGAACACAAAAAAGGACGCAAAGTCATCATGTGTTAAAGAACAAGTTGCCCGGATCTGTGAGTCAGGCGTGAGAAACTGAGTCCTTGATACGTGAGATCGATGTCTTTAGTCCATAGGCGTAAGATTCACGCATAATGGGTTCACAATATTTTGAAGGTATAAATGTTGATTGGCTAAATGGTTGGAAAAGATGGGAAATGGAGGGCCACTTGAAATGCTTACAACAGCAAAACTGATAAAAAATTAAGGTACTATTGCATCAGTTTTCGAATTTAAAGTTTATTTTACATTATATGTGCCTCTCAAGCTAGATTTTGAAACAAAAATATACCAATAAGTTTCATAGTTAATCGTTAATAACCATTCATTTGACAACTGACAAAAAGCCTAAAATTTAACTGACAACTGACAAATGGCCAAAATTGTAACTGACAACTGATATTTGAACCCCCCAATCCAGACCCTCAATGATGAACAGCCGTTAAACAACTCAGCAAGTGTCTTTTATCTTTGGCTGCTCGAAGCGTTCTCCTGATTTCAAAACGGCAGTATACTTCTTGAAAACGCCGAGCTTTCATAATCGAGGATGATTCTAAACACACTTACTTTTGCTGATTATTGTAAACCGTGTTATCTTTAACAGGCTGGTGAAAAATCAATTCTTGCACATTTCCAGGTTCTTAGCTGAATGATTTTCAAAGGGGTTGGTCTTGAAAAAGTTTGAATTTGACAAAGGTAGTAGTCTGTTTCAGCCAATCAGATGAATGAACTAAAAACGCGCGCGCTATCAAAATTTGTTTTTGAAGTTATGTTTTTCGTGTAGTTGTTAGTATAGGTAATCACATGATTTCGAGTGCAATTTGGAATAAATAAGCACTTGCAAATTTTTCAAAGACCTCAAAGTGCTCTTGCCCTAAGGGCTCGTGCACTTTTGTTGGTCTTTCAAAAACTTACTCGTGCTTTACTATTCCAAATTGCACTCGAAATTATGTGATTACCTATACTAAACTTTCTTGTTGTTGTTGTTACAAAATCAGCTCGACGTACGGAAGAATTAACCTTATAATTTCTTTAAATTTGTATCGAAACTTCGGAGTACCATTAAATAATTTCAAACCCAAGCTTGTGGCTGTTTTGTCGCTGCCAGTATGGCCTTTTCTGTTTTTTTTTCTGTTGTTTCGTCGGTAGAAAGCTCGCGAAATCTACTTTTTTTCGCCGCTTTGTCCGAGAGAAATTTTGTTGTTTTCCATATAAGGTCAAACTAAGGTACATGCGCTTATAACCGAGATTGAGTGAACCAATCAGAATGCTAGAAATGCATTATCCGAGGTTGAAAATTTAATAAAGATGGATATTAACTTGAAGGATGACCAGCCAGTGTAGAAAAACTATCTTTCAATACCACGTCCACCCGACCCTGAAGTCAAGGGCTACATCGAAGACTTGCCAGATAGAGGTTTCATTTCCAAGTCCTCATCACCATTCTTAAGCAGTGTGTTCTGTGTTCGTAAGAAAGATGGGGGAATGAGGTTATGCGTACACTACAGAGAACTAAACAAGAAAACTGTACCCGACCAACATCCCATTCCGCGTATAAAAGAAGCTTTGGGCCGTCTAGGGGGGAATTTATGGTTTAGTGTCTTCGATCAAGGCAAAGCATACCACCAAGGATTCATTGGCAAGCAGAGTCAACCACTCCCAGCCTTAAACGCTCCGGCAAATTTTCAGCGATTTATGGAAAACGGCTTCAGAGAACTACGCGATGAAATGTGTATCCCTTAGTTAGATGATATTATAGTATTTTCAGAGTCATTTTCAGAGCACATTGAATATCTAAGCAAGATACTTCAACTTCTTGAAGAAATTCATCAGGCTGGTGAAGTTAAACAGTCGATTGAAATTTTCTTAAACATAGCCAGTCTTAACGTCTTATTGATGCTGACAGTTTCGATGACTGTCAGCCATCTTTATCAAAACTGGAAAAACATTAAAAGTGTCAGAAGCCTTAAATAGGCTTCTGAATGTGTTGATTATTGCGATAAACGCGCAAAGTCACTCTGTAGACGCCCCCTCCCCCCCTGGTTTTGGGGTGGAGATCGCTTGTGTCCATATGGGAGAAAGCTGATAGGCTCCCTCGTCCCTGTTCATAGTAGGAGTGTTCGATCTAATACCTATGCTTTCCTTGATCCATCGCTTAAACTTGTCACTTTCCTGCTCAACTGTTTCACTTGCTTCCCAATTCATGATATGATTGTTCTGACAGACGTGGTCTGTTATGGCTGATTTATGGTGTTCATTGGTAGAAGCTCTGCGGGTGGATCTTGTGAAATTTCTGTCAGAGATCTTTTCTGCTTCCTTTCTGTGTTCTGTGATCCTGGTTCCCAGCTGTCTCCCTGTTTCACCGATATATACCTTTTCGCATTGGCTGCATGGAATTTTGTACACCACTCTAGCCTTTTTTTGCTTCTCAACTTTGTCCTTCGGGTGAACTGAAACCTGTCTGAGGGTGGTTTGAGGTTTAACCACTGTGGCTACCCTGTGTTTGGTGAATATACGTCGTATTTTCTCCGTGAATGAGTGGACATATGGGACAGTCACCACTCGTCTTGATTTTTCTTGTACTTTATCTTTCTTGGATTTATCTTTTCTAATAGCTTTCTTTCTGTTGATTTGCTCTGTGACCTTCTTTATCGCCCAATCCGGGTAACCACATGTATGGAGGGCTGTTCTTATGTGTTCTTTCCCTTGTTTACAGTCTTCTTCTTCCGTGACAATACTGTCACTCCTTTCCAATAACGTCCGTATGACATCAAGTTTGTGCTGAAGTGGATGATGCGATTGAAACGACAGGTACTGGTCTGTGGGTGTGGCTTTCCTGTAAACCAGTAGTTTGATGGATTCGTCCTCCCTCCTGGTGATAAGGGTGTCCAGAAATGGGATTTGGCCATTTTCTCTTGTTCGTGCGTGAATTTGATGCTGTTTGTTTTGTCTATTCCGTTGAGATGATCTGTCAGAGCCTCCACCTTTCCACTCTTAATGATTTCTAGGATTTCATCCACATATCGTTTCCATAGCTTAGGTTTACAGTCTATGGGAGCAGTGGAGATGGCCTGTTGTTCTAGCCATTCCATAAAGAAGTTAGCCAGGATGGGGGATACTGGGCTGCCCATGGCTGTGCCGAACTTCTGTTTGAATAATTGTCCTCTGAAACTGAAGTATGTGGTGGTGGCAATAAATTCTGTGAGATCCATTATATCATCAACCTCTAGGTTTGTTCTTTTCTTTAGATCTTGATCTTTATCTAGGCGTTCTCTTATGATGGTTAATGTCTCCTGTATAGTGGTCTTGGTAAATAGTGACACAAAATCGTGGGAGTTGAAGATGTCTTCTTGTTCTAATGTGACTGAGGATAATTCTTCAGCAAGCTCTTTGGAATTTTTGACATGATGTTCCGTAGTGCCGACCAGAGGTCCCAGGAGGTCAGCTAGGGCTCTAGATGTATTGTAACCAATCGATCCTGTGTAATCCACAATAGGTCTCAGAGGGTTGTTAGCCTTGTGGATTTTTGGTGTACAGTACAATCTGGGTGTGGCCTCAGATGTAGGGTACAAGTATTTGTACTGATCTTCCGTTATCTTGCCATCCTTTTTTAACTTGGTCAGTTTTTCGATCAGCTTTCTCTTATAAGAACTGGTTGGATCGGCCTGCAATTTCTCATAAGTGTGAGCGTCATTCAACGTGGTGCTGACTTTTTCCTCGTACTCGGTCTTATCCATGACTACTGTGGCTCTTCCCTTGTCTGCTGGCAGTATCATGATGGAATCCTCCTGTTTCAGTGACCGAAGGGCCATTTTTTCCCCTTTAGAAATGTTGCTCTTCGGGACCTTTGATGACTTGATCGCTTCGACTATTTCTGTTCTCAGTTGGGTTGCTTCGTTGGTCGGGAGCGATTTGCATGCCAGTTCCGTAGCTACTATGATGTCGTTTGTGGGAATGCGGTGCGGTGTTATTGCAAAATTCAAACCTTTCGACAAAACACTAGTTTGATCCTGGTTAAGTTTGTATTTGGAAAGATTGACGACCCACCGTTTTATCTGTGTACCACTAAGGTCTGGTTCCGAAGGATTATTTTTCTTCGACTTTGAGATTAAGCTTGCAAGCTTGTCTTGCTGTCTGCATTTTGCTTGTTTATGCACACTCTCATGAACTCTTGTTAGATATAGGTGCGCGTTTAATTGTTGTTGGACGTCGCTTGGAAATCGCTCCGCTAAACGTCGCTTCTTGTCTTGTAGATGACTTATTGTCTGGTTTGTTAGCCGAATCCTCTCTCGAAGAAGGTTCTTTCTGGCTTTCTCTACATTATTTCTTGCTTTGACGGAATTAATAGGGCACTTTAAACGAAGGCTTGGAGGAATGGCACATTCGCCTTTACATCTCAAGTTGAACACCAAATGATTTCTATGGCGCGCTAGTTGACGTGTGGTATTTTCCGCTTTTCGGACAATCTTGATGGTCTCCTGTCCGTAATTTGTTCGTAAATTCTTGAAGAAATTCATCAGGCGAGTGAAGATAAACAGTCGATTGAAATGTTCTTAAAACATAGCCAGTCTTAACGTCACCTTCAGAAGCCTATTTAAGGCTTCTGACGCTTTTAATGTTTTTCAAGTTTTGATAAAGATGGCTGACAGTCACCGAAACTGTCAGCATACGACGTTAAGACTGGCTATGTTTTAAGAACATTTCAATCGACGAGATACTTCAACGCTTAAATAGTCGTGAGGTGAAGTTGAAAGCAGCTACGTGTAAACTGTTTAAACGTGAAGTATCCAAAGATGGATATCAAATGGATCCTAAGGTAACAAGTGCAGTGACAGCCATGGAATATGTGAGACCTAAAACAGTCGAGGAGGTCAGAAGACTAATAAGACCACTTGGTGTGTACCACAGACACATAAAGGACTTTGCACGAATCTCAAAATCAATTTAGGATCTGCTAAGCAGACTGAACGGAAAAGGTGCTCCTACGGTCAAATCGACATAAAAACAGTGCAGTGGACAGGTACCGTCTTCAGCACCAGTAGAGTGGGAACCCACGCATCAGTCTGCTTGGAACGAAGATCCTCATAAACAGAATTACTTCACCACCCGTCCTAGCTTACCCAGATCATAACTCTCCGTTAATATAAAACATACTGATGCCTCTCAAGAAGGCTTGGGCGCGTTCCTGTATCAGGAACAAAATGGCTGTACCCGAGTTATTGCTTATGCCTCGTGGACTCTGACCCCTTCTGAACGTAATTATCATCTGCTCTCTGGTAAGCTGGAATTTCGTGAATTAAAGTGGGCAATTACAGAGCAGTTCCGTGATTACTTCTACTATGCTCCGACATTTGTGGTGTACACCCACAACAACTCATTGACTTATGTCCTGACAACGGCAAAGTTAAATGCTACTGGATTGAGTTGGGTCGGTTTGCTGGCTGATTATAGTTTTGAGATTCAGTACAAGTCAGGGAAGTTGAACACCGATGCTGACAGACTTTCAAGGACTACCAGCTGATTTTAAGGAGTATATTGACAGTTGCAGTGAAGCAATATCACCAGAGAGACTGCGAGCCAGTGTCGCCGCTGTCCGGACCATGTAAAGTAGGGATTTAATTCGGCTTACTGTTCTGACAGATCAGAAAGAGGTGCTTCAGCAGGGTTACCCGTGGTCTAAGACAGCTTGCAACCATGTGTGAGTGGTAGATCTTGCGAAAGGGTGGCATGAAGATCCCGCTATAAGTCGTGTCCTCGAATTCCTTAAAGCAAACCTCAGACACTCAGTTTAACAGAAGCGGCAGGAAACACCGTCAGCACGTAAACTACTGACCGAATGGCATAAGCTTCATATTGATAAGAAGAGTGGAATCCTCTGTCGAAGCCAGCGAGTGGTACTCCCACAGAAGTTTAAGTGCATTGTGTATCGGGAGCTGCATGAAGAAATGGGGCATTTGGGTGTGGAAGGAATATTAGCGTTAGCTCCTGAGAGATTCTACAGGCCAAACATGAGGAGGGACGTATAACATTACATCCACAGACGCCGCCGTTGTCTGAAACAGAAGCGCCCCTACATCCAGCCTGTTGTGACCACAGCACCATTGCAACTGTTATCAATTGACTTTGTGCATCTTGAACGAAGCCTGGTAGGTTATGAGTAATTCATGGTCGTGGTAGATCATTTTACCAAGTACGCCTATGTTTATCCCACACAGAACATTAAGCAGCAAAAGCCTCCGCTGATAAGATCGTTACCACTTCATTCCACGGTTTGGTTCTCTGGAGAAACTTCAACATGATATGGGGGGAGAGAGAGAGAATTTGAGAACCGTCAGTTCAGACGATTTGAGGAATTATTTAGAGTGATGCATTCTAGGACTACGCCATACCGCCCACGGGGCAATGGATTGGTTGAAAGAATGAATCGCATCCTCCTTAGTATGCTGCGGATTCTTTCTGAAACTCACAAGACTAATTGTAAGGATCACGTGAACAAACTCATCCATGCCTATAACTGCACCGTGCACGAGTCGACAGGATGTTCACCATTCTCCTTGTTGTTCTGTAGGAGTCTTCGTTTGCTGATTGACCTGATTGACATTATGTTTGATTTAAAGAGTGAAAGTGGTCCTTGCTCCTATGCTGAGTATGTGTCCAAATGGAAAACACCCATGCAAGAAGGTTATTCCTGTGCATCCTGAATCAAACGCTAGCAGTGCTTTTAAGGGAAAGAAGATTTACGACAGACGAGTGAGGTCCTCAGCATTGAAGACATATGACACTTCTGACAACCCTACTTACATGAGGCAGATGGACTTCTTCTCCTACTGGAGATGTAAGCCAGTGCGCGATGCAGCGACTGCTTTATCTATGTACAGGTAGAACTTAAGTCAATAAGTGGAGTGTAATTCAACCACCAGCAGTTTCCTATCCACCGATGCCTCCCGTCATGACGCTGTTGCTGTTTTGGAATGCAAACCCAGTGATGCTTTACATGTATCCAGGAGGAGTGACATACTAGCCACATTATTGTTGACCAGTAGGAGTGCCATACCAGATACCAGGCACTAAATACTTTGTTGCTTCTTTTTCTTGTTTGAGAACACTTGTTGAAAAAAAAAAGAGAGAAAGAAGAAAGAAAAGAAAAGAAAAGAAGAAAGTTTCGTGTATTTCCAGCATTCAGTACGTGAATACGTCAGTGGCTTATCGACAGTCAGTTTAGTAGCAATTAATGAACATTGACGGAGTGCGGACAGATTTTAGGACTTAAGTATCCAGTTGACTGTACTGGAAATGGGCCTGATTAGTCTCGATTACCAGCTGCTGTTCGGGAAAATGAGCCCGCACTCATTCCCCCGAAGGAGAGGACGAAAGACCGGACCCGGGAGAAGACGGAAATCGAGCCTCGGGCCTGATCAACTCCTTTCAGGTTTCCGATGTTTCAGGGAATGCCGTTACAGAACCCGCTGTTATGAAGTATGTAGTTTTGCTAAGTTTTAAGTTACTAATTACAAGGGTGACATTCTTTTTTTAACAGAGAAGGGTGTAAGGAATGGCTTCGTTAAGTCCTCGATATATATTTGTTATGTAATTTAGTTCAGGTGTCATACTCGAGTAGAACTGAAAACCCTGTATGACGTCGTGTGACGTAACAGAAAACGTGTGCTTGGCGAGCGGCAGGAAGTGAGCAACGTAAGGAAACGTAAAACGGATCTAGTTAGGATGTTTAAATACATTTGAAGAAACCGAACCCTGGTGTTTGTTCAGTGTTACATATTTTTAGGATTTTGTTGCAAATCCTGTAAGAAAATAATTTTCTACCTACAAGTAAACTGCAACAAGTCAAATTACATCGCTTTCTTGGTATTTGCTGGTAAAGCTGGTTTTAAAATCCCCTCCCAGAAAAGTGATAGCTAAGGATATTTCAAGTTACGAGAGTTAATCAAAACGCGCGCTGATCTGGTACATATTAAAAGTATGTTCCTATTATCTTCGAATGTCACTCTCCTGAAGATTAGGGCACTTCTCATGGCAGCCTGATAAGACAATGGGAGGTGAATTTTATTCACGAAAAAAGAATATGAAGGCCTATTAACTGAAGTAGAGTTTTTAGGGAGCTTAAAAACGAAGGCTTCAAATAACATTCCAGGCACCGACGGGCTTCCAGCAGAGTTTCATAAAGTTTTTTTGCGATCACGTAAAGCCCTCTTCATTAAATGCCCTCAACTGTAACTATACAAATGGATATTTATCAATCACGCAGAAAAGAGGACTGATTACTCTTGCTCCTAAGACAAATAAATCTGCCAATCTTTTGAAAAACTGGAAACCCATTACTCTCTTCTACTGTGATTTTACAATCACAGCTAAATCATTTGCTAATCGCATTAAAAACGTTCATCGGAAGATCATCAATAGCGATCAAACGGGTTTTCTGAAAAATGGGATAAGGAAAATATCGGTGAAAATATCAGGCTCATAGAAAGTATCATCAAGTGTTGATTTGTTAGAGTAGAGAACGAGGAACACGACAAGAGTAGAAAACAACAACATTGGTTTATTCGTGAACCGCCATTACGAGAGCACATGGTTCGAAGTGAAGGATCATGGGAACTAGAAACATACTTCATGTGTGCTACAATATACTATCAATCAACATCCCTTCTTCTTTAGGAAAATAAGAATGGAGTTTCTTAGCACCTAAATATGAAAGCCGAATCTTTCACTGAAGATGTCCACCTAAGTAACAATAACAAGGAACTCTAACAGTATCTTTAGTAAGCAAAGTTTCTAAATAAAGCAGTCCAACTGATCAGAAACAGTCTCTACTTGAGTACATAGTCCTTAAAACGAATAGGTAATCTGCTTTCTCGTTTAGGCCTTTCTGGTGCGGGACTCTTAATAGGAGTAGTTGCCTCACTATGCGAATGACTTTCTTTGGCCTCAGCGCCAGTGGTTGGAGTTTGAGGAACTGTAGGCACGGCTGAAGTTAATACTTGGTCAGGAGTACGAGACAAAACGATAGGAGACACATCGCGAGGAGTTCGTACTACTTTGGTTGGTCTTAGATGCACACGGTTTCTTCTGTACTTGCCGCCATTGGCACCTTCCACTTGGTACGTATTAGGGCCTAAAGTTCCAGTTACTTTGCCCCATTTCCAGTTCTGACCTTCTGCGTGTTGGTAGAATACTGACTGTCCAATTTCAATAACTGAGAGTTTGCGTGATTTCCGATCGTGATATGTTTTCACGCTGCGTTTTCGCGCATCACGTTTTCCTTTCACGAGAGTATTCTTTGGTTTACTGCTTAAGCTTGGTAAGAAACTACGTGTTTTGCGGTTAAACATCATTTCCGCTGGACTCAACGCAGTGTCCTGACGAGGAGTGTTTCGTTGTTCGAGTATGGCTTCATAGGGATCGCCACCATCCTTGTAAGTTTTGATTAGCAAGGATTTCATAATCTTCACGGCGGACTCTGCTTTGCCGTTAGCACGTTGATGCATGGGTGATGATGTATGATGGGAAATACCCCAGCTTGTCATGAATGAGTTAAGCTCTTGACTGGTAAATTGAGGACCTCCATCTGACACGATTACTCTTGGTATGCCGTACCGCGCAAAATGTTTCTTGAGAAGAGTTATGGTACGGGTGCTCGTTTGGCTTGTCAGTAGATCAGTCCCTATGAAATTAGAGTAATAGTCCACTACAATCAAGTAGTGCTTTCCTGCGATTTCAAAGAAATCCAAACCAATCTTTTGCCGAGGTCCATCGCCTTCGTTGTGTTGTTTCAATGGTTCTTGAGTGTTTCGTGGCTTCATTTCTTGGCAGGTTTCACGTGAATCCGCTAATTGTTTAATATCATGGGCCATGCCAGGCCAGAAAACAATGCCTCTAGCTCGACGCTTCATGCTTTCACAGCCTAGATGTGCACTATGCAGTCTTTTCTTGATAGATGCTCTCGGTTCAGATGAAATTACCATTGCTTCTCCTTTTACTAAGATGCCATCTACTATACTGAGAGAGTCACGCATGTCAAAATAAGGTAAGGCTTGAGAGGGAATATTGTGCTAGTCTTGAGGCCATCCATCCAAGACTAGCTTGATAACGGTTTGTAGGCTAGTGTCGCGCAAAGTTGCTCCTCTTATCTCGTCCAAACGCCTATCTGGGATTTCAGCAAAGGCATATATATATGTTCATGATTCGTGCACGGTCGTCCTGGTTACCTTCAACAGAGTCTAAGTGAGCTCTACTTAAGGTGTTGGCAATGTGTAGACTAGTGCCTTTCACAAATACGAAGTTGACATCATACCGGTTATAACGCATTATGATGTCTTGAAGACGCTTTGGAGACATACTCAGCAGCTTGCGTAGTATAGCAGCAAGAGGTTTGTGATCATTCTGTACTGTTACTGCACGACCATAAGCATACTGATCAGATCGTTCAAGACCATACAGGACAGCCAAGGCTTCTTTCTCTGTCTGTGCCCAATTCCGTTCTGAAGGGGTCAATGCTCTAGATGCATACTCAATAGGACGCCCTTCTTGGAGTAACGCAGCACCAATTCCATGTTTGCTACTGTCTGCTTGAATTACTACTTCTTTCGAGGAGTCAAAGTAAGCTAAGCAAGGAGACTCAGACAGATTTTTCTTGAGTGTGTTGAAAGCATCTTCACATTCTTTCGACCATACAAATGGGGTGTCGTTTCTAGTTAGAGCACGGATTGGTTCAAGTGTTGCTGCAAGGTTGGGTAAGAACTTTGCCATGTACTTAGCCATGCCACAGAGGCGCTTCACACCTTCCACATCAGTGGGTGCTGGCATGTCTCGGATAGCTTGCACCTCAGCTTCATCAACTTTCACACCGTCTTTCGTGATTCTGTGTCCATGAAATATGATTTCATCCAGACCAGTTTCCTGCTTATCCTCATTTAGGATAATGTTCTTCTCAGCACACCTTTTCAATGTCACTGCTAGTTTTTGCTGGTTGTCACTCTGAGCTTCAGCATCTGAGTTGCCACACCCTACAATGACTACATCATCCACTATATTGAATACACCACCGAGATCACCTAGCGCTTCATCAATCTTGCGCTGGAAAACTTCACTTGAGACTTTGAGGCCAAAGGGTAGCCTCTTCCACATGTAACGACCAAAAGGTGTAATCATTGTGGTGAGTTTGCTGGATGCTTCATCAAGTCGAACATGCCAATACGCTTCTTTTACATCTAGTTTGCTAAAGATCTTTGCATCTTTAAGCTTTGGAAGCACATCATCAAGCACAGGTAATATAATCGGTAATGTTCACGCTTGAGTGCAGCATTTAGGGGTTGAGGATCAATACAAATGCGCAATTTACCATTGGGTTTATGTACAACTGCCATTTGACTGACCCATTCAGTTGGTTCGGTCACTGGAACCAGTACGCCTTTGTTTACAAGTCGATCTAGTTCTTCCTTTACTGCATCTTGAATGGCAATAGGAACTTTCCTACAAGGCAGTACTTTGGGAGGAACACTTTCATCAATTCTGTGGGCGGCTTCACCCAGTTCACCAAGTTGTGGAGTTGATACTTGTGAGATGAAACATTCTTTATTTATGGTTATAAAACCAAGCTCCTGAATAGTGTTCAAACCTAACAGGTTTGTAAAACCGTTTGGGACCACGATAAACTTTATTTCTGATTCAGAACTAGTGCGAGGATTTTTAACTTTCAGGCGCGTTTCTTCCAGAGGTTTCAGGTTAGTTTTATTCCACATGTTAAGGGGAACAGTTGTAAGAGACACTTGGTGTTGTCTTACATGCCTCTGACAGATGGTATTTACATCAGCTGCAGTGTCAAGTTGGAATTTGACATCAATATCATTTAAAGTAAGTGTGGCAGTAACACTGTCTGTCCCATTGCTTACAGCCATGAGCCATTAATCATCAGAATCTTCCTCATTATCATTGGATTGGTTAAGTGCATGAATATTTTTGCATTTAGACTTAAAGTGGTTAAGACCTTTGTAGTTGTCACATGTCTTGACCCAAGAAGGACATTTGTCTCTTTGTTTCTCATGTTTGTATCCACAAAATTTGCAGTTGAATTTTAACTTTTATCTCCCTTTGTGTGAGGCTTTGTTCATTTGGGAACCTTTCTTACTACCGGGCGTTTTAGTTTCAGAGTTTTAAGTTATTCTGTTCACACTTGTAGAGGAACTTGGGAGGGCTATACTTTCTCTGAATTCTTTCACTTGTCTTTTTGACTGTTCGAAAGCCCTAAAAATTTTTATTGCTTTGTCGTGTGTCAAATTGTCTTCCCTGAAGAGTAAATCTTGAAGTTTTCCAGTCACAGTAAAAACTATTTTGTCTCTCAACTTTCGATCTTTTTCCAGAAAATTGCACGCGGCTTCTCTCGTTTTTAGCTCCGTGAGAAATTTGTCGAACGGTTCCTGGTATGGAATGTCCCAGAATCTATGATATTCGATGACTTCATTGTCACGCGGGTTGCAGTATCTTTCCAATCCTTCTAAAACTTTATCAGGTTTATCTTTAATGCCATCATCTGTCCAAATAAAAGTATCGTACACCTCGAGAACATGAGGGCCTGCACAGTTTAAAATGATATCAGTTTGTACTTTATCGTCCCTCTCTGAAGCTGCAGAAAAGGCTGCTAAGTACACTTCCACTTGCCGTTTCCACCGTTTGAAGTTCTCGGACACATTTCCCAAATTCACACCTAGTTTTGGAGGAAGTCTAAACTGTCCGGTTTCTGTAGCCGTCATTTCATTAACTAAATCCCGAGGCTGCCACCATGTTGATTTGTTAGAGTGGAGAACGAGGAACACGACAAGAGTAGAAAACAACAACATGGGTTTATTCACTAGCAGCTAAATACAGGAATTGCACCGACCTGTGATTGGAAGATAAAAATAGTATTTCAGTGACGATGACGTGACAATTCGTTACGTTAGCCGTTTCAAGAGTAATGGTTTTTACACGAAAAAGACAGTCCACAGGAAAATGCAATATAATATTAAATATTTCTCAAAGACAAACAGTGCAGTATTCTTTTGAAGTCGGCTGACTCGCTAAGAGTCAATGTCTTATCGAAGTTGAAGTTCAACTGTCGCAAATCGGATAACTTCACTGAGTGATTCTGAGATGAAAACTTTTATCTGCATCCACATTGATCTTAGATTTTACCACTTACATATTGAAGAAAAGCCATAAACAGAGCTTCAATGTCCACGTACACCCGACTGAACCTCGGTGCGATTCCTGCAGATACCGCTGTTCATACTAAATGCAGGAATTGCACCGGACGCGTTCTCGTCCCCAGAGTTTTTTTTTTTGAAACCGCGACAAGACATCGATCCCTTTTCAATATAGTCTTGCGACAAAGGTCTGTATTAAAAAAATTAATACTGTTGTTGGAGGGCATGCAATGAATCATGCTAAAGTTTCTATTGGGAACACAAAATAGAGGTACCAGGGAATCACAGGGAGCAACTGTGTAAGTGACATAACTTTTTATTTAACTTTGTAGCTAGTGTGCCGGTGGGGGGGGATTCCTATACAATAGGCACAGGGCGGCTCATTAGAAAATTTAGTGTACCAAAGACTTTCTTTGACCCCTCGAGGAGTCCACTTCAACACTGTTAGCAGTAAAGTATGTGCAGGGCTTTTGTAAATGGATATTTCTATATTTACTGACTTTCCACCCCCAATATAAACATACCAATTAAGTGAGATCAAATTCTGTGTACTTCTATGCCTTTACTGAGATGAGACAACTTGATAAGTTAGAAGACAAGCAATCCCTGTAACTTTTATACAGGAGTTTCTCCCTCAAAAAGGCTAGTGTAATTTATTTGGATTGTGTGGTTCCAGAAAATAAACATACCCACCAACCCCAAGGAAAATTCTGAAGGGGAGGGGGGTTTGAAAGGCCAAGATTTTTAAAGAAAAGTATGAAATTAACCTGGAATTTCCCGAATGGTGGGGGCATCCCAAGGAAAATACCATCTTTGGAGGGAGTATGGATATTTCCTGGAACAACGCATTTATTGTTTGTTATTAATAATTTAAAGGAAAAATAACACAGTTTGTTTATATAAGTGCATACGTTGTGGTTCAATTTGATCCTTGGTTTAAATTTTAGTTTCCTTTATTGTAAACTCATTATCATAGATTACCATACACAAAAACAAAGGAAAATATAAACCAAGGACAAAATTGAACCACAACATACATATATTAAGCTTATGTATAAACTAGCCAACGTATATATCTGTTACCTAGATAACATTTCGGCAATGATTTATATAATGCTAAGAAAGTCAGACATTCATGCTCACAGCTTGGGGCTATATTTCACAGCCGGCAAAAAGTTGATTATCCCTGGTAGTAGTTTTGCAAAACAAAAAGCAAATTTAAAACAAATAGAAGATTTCAAATGTACAGAAACCAAATTAAACAGTTTTTGAGTGCATGAAACAGTACATATGTGTGTAAATACTGTCAAGAAGGTCACTTAAAACCCATTGTGTGACACAGAGAGAAGCCACTTCATTTGGTGTCATGTCATAGTTTGGAATAATATAATCAAAAGGATTCAAGTATAGAATTTCCTGAAATTTCTTTATGGAACTTTCTGGAGGATACATTTGGACAGTCAGTGGTTTAATGTATGGTTCTGAAAACCAGTTTAATTCTGCTTGGACGGCCCTTTGTAGATCCCTTGCATAATGTACTTTTAACATATCTTTAACATCAGATATGCTAAAACATTGGGAGCCATGCTGCAGATAATAGTAACCCTTCTCTTCTTTCTGCCAGAAGCTTAGCTGCTTATCCCATGTTGTTAACAGACTAAACGGTGGTATTGTTTTCAATGAAAAGGGGTTTGTTGTAATTCTTGGAGAATCTGACACAACAACATCACCATCAGCATTTCGAGGGGATTTTGTGGGGGGTAAATTGAATTCAAAGGCCTCTCTCCTGGTATGGCTGGTAAGGGCAGAAGAGGTTACTTGCTTACTGCACTTTTGCCAGTCACCAGCCTGCATGGAATAGAGTTCAGATTCATTCAGATGAGTGTTTAGTCATTGACTGCCCTCAACTCCCTCCACCCCCCAAAAAAAAAAAAATGAATAAAAAATATAAATCAATGTAGAAATGTTATCCACAGGTACACAAAGTGTAAATACAAGAGCTAATTTCAGCAAACTCTTACAGGTGGACCGCCTTTTCCCTAAATTTTGCGAGTGAACATGACATGTAACTCTATTAGCTTAAAACAAGCACTGACTCGTCTTTAGTTTCTCCACAGACTTTTTTTTCTGCGAAAACTCAACCCCACCCACCCACCCCCTATGGCAGGTCAAATGGTCCTCGCAGCTACGTGCTGAAACGCAATGATTATTCGGTTTGCTGAAAAGGGATTTTTGTTTCTTCCAAAGGACATGATGGGATTTAACCAGGCTGTTTAGGTGACCATTATTTTTACATTGCTGAGGTATTTCAGATTCGATATACTCACCAAGGAGAGCATGTTACACTTGTAAAGTCAAGCAGTAAAAAAAAAAAAGGCAAAGAACAATCAGCCCGAGGTTTAGATGACCTTTAGTCAGGATCCTATAACCCCTGCTTCAGTATAATTTAACTTCGAATACAAGTGATGTGTTATTTCCAGTGGCCTAAGTCTTGTCCTATCAAGCGAAAATCAAAACGCGAGAAAATCAATTAAAGTTTCCCGCGGCTATTTAATTTATGCCAAGTTGCGCATTCGACCAATGAGCGTCCGGTGTATCCTCGTTCCCAGAGCCCGTCTTTCTTGGTCACGTGCTCTTTTGTTACAACTAACTTAGAGTGACTCTGGGGACGAGAACGCGTCCGGTGCAATTCCTGCATTTAGTATGAACAGCGGTATCTGCAGGAATCGCACCGAGGTTCAGTCGGGTGTACGTGGACATTGAAGCTCTGTTTATGGCTTTTCTTCAATATGTAAGTGGTAAAATCTAAGATCAATGTGGATGTAGACAAAAGGTTTCATCTCAGAATCACTCAGTGAAGTTATCCGATTTGCGACAGTTGAACTTCAACTTCGATAGGACATTGACTCTTAGCGAGCTAGTCAGCCGACTTCAAAAGAATACTGCACCGTTTGTCTTTGAGAAATATTTAATATTTTATTGTATTTTCCTGTGGACTGTCTTTTTCGTGTAAAAACCATTACTCTTGAAACGGCTAACGTAACGAATTGTCACATCATCGCCACTGACATACTATTTTTATCTTCCAATCACAGGTCGGTGCAATTCCTGTATTTAGCTGCTAGTGTTTATTCGTGAACCGCCATTACGAGAGCACATGGTTCGAAGTGAAGGATCATGGGAACTAGAAATATACTTCATGTGTGCTACAATATACTATAAATCAACATCAAGTATGCCAATAGAAAACAAATTCCTGGTCTTCTACTTTTCATTGACTTCGAAAAAGCCTTTGATAGCATAAAATGACCCTTTATTGAGATAGCCCGTGTACAGACGTCTCCCCTTTTTTTTCTGAGGAAGGGGGGACGTTTGTACACAGGCTATATTGAGAGAACTTTGAAATATTTTAATTTTGGAGTGTCGTTGGTGATGTGGTTTAAATCATTTTACACAGTTGCATCTAAAACAATGGTTGGTCTTCTGAGATTTTTTCTTTGAGTCGCGGAGTGAGACAGGGGTGCCTGCCTTTCCCCTATCTTCATTCTTTGCGCAGAGGTCTTGGACAATGCCGTTAGGAAAGATGAAAATAGTCATGGCATTAATTCAAGGAAAGTTGAATGCAAACTCTCACAATATGCCGATGATACCACAATGATTCTTGACAGATCTAAGCTCTCCCTTTCCAGAACCCTTTATTTACTTGGTACTTTCGCAATCTCATCTGGAGGGCTAAAAATGATTGAAGTTCAGAGCTCTAATGAATCCTTAAGAATTAAATGGATTAAAGGATATCTAGATGACAATAATCAGGGGAAGTGGAAATTCTTTGATAACTACCCCGAGAAACACGGTGGTAAATTGGTGTTTTCAGCTAATTTAAAACGGCAAGATACCCCTATAATCAATATTTTAGACCCTTTTGTAGCCGAAACTGTTGAATACTGAAGTATCTTTTAATAAAATAAAAATAATAGCGAAGACAACTTAAATTTCCCCTCCTCCCAGATTTACCTAAATTCCCTCATACGAATTGATTATGGACCCTTATTTTTGAAGTCATGGTTCACGCAGGGGTGAAAGATGTTAGGGATTTACTTGATAGTTCAAGTTATAATTTCGTAATCTACAACGCTTTTATTACCAAAAACAATATAGAAACGAACTATATAGAGCACTATAAAGCAGTGTCTGCTCTTATCAAAACGGGAAAAATGTTCCCCCATTTAAAACCTCACTCCCCTCGAAAAAGCGCTGCCGAAAACCTCCAGTTTGCAACAAAAACTTATCAGATCATTTTCAAAAAAAAGACTTCATCGCCAGTGAAAAGCCAGGAAAAGTGGCTTTCTGAGGATATTTTTCCAAATGTACAAGTGAACTGGGAAAAAAACTATCAGCTACCATTTTTATGTAACACGGAAAAAATAGATGGATAGCTACAAGCGACTTCCTTCTTAAGATAGGCAATTAACTATTGTCAGAAATTCTATTCGGGATATAAACATCCTTGCTCGGTTTGTAGAGAAATGCGTCAAACCCTTTCCATTTATATTATTATAAATTTCTGTTTAAATATGTCGTATAACTGCTTTCGAAATGAACTGTTCTCGGAGAGTTTTTTTTTTTTAAATATGCTTCGCCTCTCTGCCCTCCATTGTAGCAGTGCAAAAGAAATCTTGGAGACTGACTTCGGGGTTGTTGATATTGCAAATAAATGGATTTTGTCATTCCTATCTTGTCGCAGTTAGCTCTAAAAGTTTCGATATACACTGTTGTGTTCCACAAGGTAGCTGCGTGGGGCAGATTTTATGTATCATGTCAGCCTAATGTATGTATCTGGGATCTTCAACGGGGTAAGAACCACCCGCCTAGTATCCATGTGTATGCAGATGATATCCAGCTGTATTTGTCCTTCAAGCCATTGTCGACATCTTTGCAACATGAAGCCGCGTCTGATTTTAGACGAAATGTGCCGTTCATACGGAAAGTTCGCGTCTTATTTAAGACGCGTCTTATTTTTCCTCGTATAAATGGCCCTAATAAGGGTTTCCTCTGAATTGAAGGACAGTTGGGGTCGGAGATATCGATTAAGCGGGGTGAGGTGGAATTCGGTTCAGAGTTTCAAGTTCAAAATGCCAATGGACTTTTTGGTCCGTGTGGTTTTCGTCCATTTCATTTTTATTACAAATTGAAAACTAAAAATCAAAAATTCACAATCGTGATTTTCAATGTTTGATCCCACAAGAATTGAAAATCACAAATTTACAATCTCAATTGTCAATTTTTGTTTCTAAGAAAGGTAAAATTGATAAACAATTTTGAGATTTTTGCCTGGTACCGAAGTTAAAAATGTATTTTCAATTTCCTATTCCCTAGATTCCAGCTTATGAAAAAGTTCAAGCTAAACAGAGCTATTCAAGTGTAATGAAAATGCGGGAAACAGTACTAAAGCAGAAGAAATCCAAAATGAAAATCGTTTTTTGATTTTTGTATTTATGAAAACAAAAATTGCCAACGGGCAAAAAATAGCTGTGACGGGAGGGGAGGGTAAAACCGGAAGTGGCGCGACTGCTAACAAGATGGCGGTCGCCATGTAGTGAAGGAGTGTTCTGTGTCTTCGTCGAGCTGTCTCTAGCGGAAATGTTACTCCAGCAGCAAGAAACAGCAATCCAAGGCCTACCTGTATCATGGCTAAGACGTTTTCCAAGAAATGAACTGATTGTTTTTTCACTGGTATTAAGCTTTTTTTGTAACATTGCAGCATTACGTTACGCAGGGTAGAGCGTTTCAGATCAGGAAGCATAAACGAGGGACTGCGGACTGCAGACTACGGACTGCGGACTAGGTGTATATAAAAGACGGACCAGGTATAAAATGCGAACTGCGTGCTATTTTTTAGTCTAATAATATTGTCACTCGATCCTAACTGTGTATAATTCCTTTAATGTTGTTGTTAAAGTGAAGGAATTTTGGCTCTAACAAGAAAATCTTTTAGAGATTTTCCCTTCCGATAAGCGACAATGGCGGCGTTAGGACTGCGCGTGCGCAAGTGTGTTTTTGCCCGTAATAAGGTGCCAGTGTTTCATTAAAATATTTTTGAGATTCGGAGTTGCAGGATGGAAAGTCGTTATAAACGGCAAAAATGTTTTTGATGTGTTGGGTTTATTTTGTAAAGCCGCATCGCGCGATTCGAAGCGGAGTCCAGCTAAGATTGTTTCGACAAGGTCCTGAGGGTAGCCTCGTTCCGTTAGGCGAGTTAAAAATTCTTTTTTCTTTAACTTCAATTATTTCTTAACCGAGTTCGTTCTAAGGAAGCACAAGACTTCTCCATATACAAAAGCCCTTCCTGAGAAGGTAAAATGAGGAGAAATGTGTTTCTTGGAACCTTTCTGTCGGTTTAAAATGTGTTTGACTTCATTGTCAAGGAAAACAATCTGTTTTGACGAGTGTAAATTTTATTGTTGAGTGGGAAGAGTTCGCGAAATCAATAAAGTTGTTGATTTCGGTTTCATGAAGAGTCCACACTGAGAATATGTCATCAATAAATCTCTTCCAGAGAAATGACTCGCATGCAGTAGTTGTTTCTCAACGTGAGGCATGAAAATGACCGAGAAAGAAACCGCCATTTTGGTGCCCAATGCAATGCAATGCGGGGGGTCTGTACGTAGTGTTTGCCTTTGAATTTGAATTAGTTTTTTGTTAAGATCAGCCGCATTAAGTCTGCCAAATTTGAAGTAGGGATACGTACATTTGACTGGTAATGGTCGTCGTAATGGTGAAGGAGGAATGTTAGTGCAGAGAGAATACACGTTTAACGTAGCTTAAATTGCTTCATCTGGAAGTGGTGTGTTTTCAATGAAAGTTTATAAAGTGTGTAGTGTCCCTGATGTAAGACTCTTGTTTTTGCGCGATTGGCCTTGTAAAAGCCAGTCAACAAAACTAGAAATGCGGTCTGTGGGACCACCGCTACCAGAGACGATTGGTTTGCCGACAAGACTAGTTTTATGTATTTTGGTCAGAGTGCAAAACTCTGGTATTCTTGGTGATTTTGGCCTAAACTGAGCCACTTGTAAGCCGTTTGAGCGATATGCCGTTTGTGAACAGAGTGTTTACAATTGTTATGACTTTTATGGCTGTTTTGGATAAAATCGGTTTTTTTTAAAATAGATTTCCAAAACGGGTCTTGCTATTTAAACAGTTCTTATCAAGACTCTACGGCTACCATTGATTGTTGATTGTTACACGTTTAGGGCTGAGTGACAATAGTGAGTTTACGCAACAGGACGACAGAAAGAAGAGAACACCAACTCTTGTGTGTGACAAACGTAACAGGGCTATTAATTAATGGGTGTTTTGTCGTGATCTTCATGTATCATTAATGTTTTCTGGTCTTTTACAGAAATATCTGTTTAAATGAAGGTGAAGTTTGGCGGAAAGTTTTTTCAAACAAAATTATTGTCGGCGCGCTTGTCACAAACGTTGGCTGTCTTCATTCCTCTCCCGTCCTGTCGCGTAAGTTCACTAATATTATTACCCTAAAACATAGTACGTAGTTCGCATTTTATACCTGGTTCGTGTTTTCTATATACCCAGTCCGCAGTCCGCAGTCCCTATTTTCATGCTGCCTGATCTGAAACGCTTTATCCTGTGTAGTATATTGCTGCAAGGTTACTGCTCAACAACAAAAGCTTAATTACCAGTGAAAAAACATTCAGTTTATTTCTTAGAAAACGTCTCAGCCATGATACAGGCAGGCTTTGGATTGCTGTTGGCGTAACATTTCCGCTAGAGACAGCTCGACGAAGATACGAAACACTCCTTCACTACAAGGCGACCGCCATCTTGTTTGCAGTCGCGCCACTTCCGGTTATACCCTGTCATTTCCTGTTATATTTCCCCGACATATTCGGCAAAGCGCCTCGAGGAGTAGGATATGCTCTTCCGTGACTTTGGATGGAAAAGAAATAACATAATTGTCGGTTACACACTTGAAAGATGCGGTTTTCACATCCTTCAATAATGGCGTTTGAGATGCAGTAGTAACGCATCGGATTCAAAGAGAGTTAACAAAATTTCGGGGTTGTTTACAAGCGTGGAATTTGGAGTGATGAAACTTTGATAACACTAGAACCGGGAAAAATATAACAAGTTCGAAGAAAAATACGCGAATGCTAGAAAATAATGATTTACGTTTACTTACT